CTATTTAGTTTCAAACTAGTCCAAAATTTGAATATATTACCATTCTCAAGTTTTGCACTAGTTTGAAACAGTGTATGAAGGAGTTTCAGGAAAAACTTACCATGCCTATTTCTTTACTGTTTTGCGCAGTGTGTGTTACATGTTTGTGTCTGCTTATACAGGTATTGAGAGATGATTGGGATTTATTATGAAGGTGTATTTAGCACCTACACCTAAAGGATATTATTAATGGCTATGATTCTTTATCAATAGTCAAATTATATTAAAATACTGTACTATAGTGACCAGTAGGCTTTATTCAATTATATGTCATTTAAAGATAAGTTCCTAAATTGCACAATAGTAAAAGATATTTCTAAAAAATAAATAAAAGTCATAAATTTATAGTTTCTGTGTTTAGTAAGTAAAATATATCAATAATTATAACATTTATCTCCTGTGTCTAGATATAAGTTCTGCTATTTCTATAGGCTTTTTGTGTGAACAAAACTCAAGATACAATTTCATTTATAAAATTACGTTCTTTAAAAGCTCATGATAGGGGCTGGGGATTTAGCTCAGCAGCAAAAAGCGCCTGCCTGGCAAGCACAAGGTCGTGAGTTCGGTTCCCGGTACCGGAGAAAAACCAAAAAAAATAAAAAAATAAAAAAATAAAAGCTCATGATAAACAAGTGTCAGAAGACTGCAGTATCAGAAACACATGAAAAGCAAGTTGAAAACATATAAAAATATGCTTGTAAACTGTTAGCAAAAGGAAAAAAGGAACATGGATAACAAAGACCGAGTTGACTTGAGTGGGCTCCTGAAATTTCTTATTTTTTCAGTTGCCCTGCAGCATGACCCTAATTCATGACACCACATTATTTTATTCACTTGAGAAAAACACAGCCTTCCTCACCATGTTCACAAAGGCTTGCTTGACTTGCTGATTCCTTAGGCTGTAAATAAAGGGGTTCAGCATGGGGGCTACGGAGGTGTTGAGCACAGCAACTCCCTTGCTCAGAGATGCCCTTTCTCCTGCTGAGGGTTTAATGTACATAAAAATGCAGCTGCCGTAAGAGATGGAAATGACAATCATATGGGACGAACATGTAGAGAAGGCCTTTGTCCTCTGAGTAGCAGAAGGAAACTTCAGAATGGTTCTGATGATGTATATGTAGGACAGGAATATTAATGCCAAAGTGAGCATTAGAGTAAACACAGCACAGGAAAATCCCATTATCTCTAGGAACTTGGTGTCTGAACAAGAAAGTTGCAGCAGGGGAAAATAATCACAAGTAAAGTGGTCAATGACATTGGACCTACAGTAATCGAGCTGTAAGAGCAACATGAGTGCAGGGAAGATGATCAAGAATGAAGCCAACCAGGAAGCAAAGACAAGCACTGTGCAGACTTTTTGATTCATGATGGTCATGTAATGCAGAGGCTTGCAGATGGCAATGTAACGATCATAGGACATGGCAGCCAGAAGGTAGAATTCTGTGACTCCCAAGAGAATGAAAAAAAATAACTGAGTTATACAGTCATTAAAGGAAATGCTTTTATCTCCTGAAACAATGGTGCCCAGAAACTTGGGAATACTGACAGTTGTAAATGAAATTTCTAATGTGGAGAAATTCCTCAGGAAGAAATACATGGGGGTCTGGAGGCTGGAATCCAGCAGGGTAAGGAGGATAATGGTCAGGTTCCCAGTGATACTGAGCATGTAGGTGATAAAGAGAAACACAAAGATGACAACCTGGAGCTTCGGGTCATCAGACAACCCCAAGAGGATAAACTCTGTTATTTCTGTGTGGTTTCTCATTCTTCAGTGGCTGATATTTTTCTCTTGCCAAATCTACAGAGAAAAGCACAGGCTTATAGCGTAATAAGTATCCAAGAGTGGAGCTAAGATTGTGCTGAAATAGTTTACCATGTTCCCATTCCAGGGAAATTGAAAGTCACCCGATAATGACAATGATCCATTAATTTCCTCTCTTGCAAGGAAAAACACTGTAGTTAAGGCATGTTGAAGAACAGTTTAGTATCCAAACTCCAATGCCATACCATCTCTCTCCAGTTAGAAAATGTATTGTTAAAAAGAAAAATAACAAATTCTGGCCAGAATGTGGGGAAAAAGTACCTTTTACACATTATTGGTTAAAATCCAATTTTGTACAGCCATTTTGAAGAATAGTTTGGAGGTTCATAAGAAAATTAAAAATAGAACTACTGTATCATATAGTTATCCTATTCCTTTGTGTATGTCCAAAGGAAAGGAAATCAGCATAGAAAAGAAATGTCTGTATGCTCACATTTATTGTAGCACTACTAACCATATCAAATATGTTAAATCAGCTTATATGTCTATCAAAACATGAAAGGAAATACACCATGAAGTGTCATTCATGAAAAATTTTGCAATTTGCAACAAAGGGGTGCAACTGAAGGATGTTATATTAAATGATAAAAACCAGAGAGAGAAAGATAAGTTTTTCTTGTTTTCTCTTGTATGTGGAAACCAAAATTGAACCTGACAGTAGAATAATGAGTAGTAGGCATTAGGAAGGAATGATGGGAGAAAGGTAGATAAATATGATCAGCGTATGCTATGGAGATATCACTAAACTTGATTACTTTGTATAACTAGTATGAATGATAAAAAATAAAAAATACCTTGGTATGCTCCAACTTGAAGTGATAGGGAGGAAGTTTATAAGAAGATACTGTCTGTCCAAATACTACTTGTTACCTTTAAGATCTTTTCTCAGATAGAATCACCTTTGCATCATTGCTTCAGTCTCTACACATTTCCCTTTGTGTAAGTTTAATTACACTGAAAATTATAAAAAGTGGGACAGATATATATTTTTTTAAAAAAATGATCATTTTGTCCTTAGTCATCTATCAATTTTTACTATCGCATGGCCGCTTTTCCAACTCAATATTACTCCCACATAAGACGTCAAATATCCTGAAGCATTTACCATGGCACCTCATGTGTCAGAAGTACAGGAAAGTGCATGTGAATCTCTTGCAAAATTTCATATTAATCTCTCAGGTTTCTGTCTCACTCTTATTCAAACTATTTTCCTTTCCCATAGTTATTCTAATATCATTGGTATCAATGTTTGAGAAATGCCTTCAGTTAAAGAGATAAATAAGAATTTCAGAAAACATTTTAGTAGTTTTATTTAAATTATGTAATAATAACTTTTAATGTTTTTCCTTTTTAAAATGAAGTTTAAATGGCATTGCTATAGTTTATGTCCCTATGAAAGACTGAGGATGTCTAGTTTTGAATCAGTTCCACCTGTGTCTGAAATCACTTAATCGTCTCTGCTCAGTTATTTCATGTAAGTAGTTTTCTCCATAGAGAGGTCAATGTCATACAATAGTTGAATTCATAACACAAATTAATTAATGTGAAGCATTTGGAAAAATGATTATCATTTAATGAAAGGTGCATAAACTTGTTTTATAGAGAAATGTTCCTAACCACTAAGCAAATCCCACTCTGGGACCAGGATGGCATCTTACGTTAAAAGTAATATTTTAAATAAACTAAAAAATTACATAAAAACAACAAAATAGAATAGGAATCACCTGATTGTACAGTATGTATTACATTTATACCATTGATTTTAGCTTTTTTCTTTTACCTTGTCTATATGGCACTGACCAGTCCCTCTATTTTGTGTCTATCTCCTTCACCTATCTCCAAACCTGCTCACACAGGCACACCAAAGCACACTCTACTTCTACCATCATTAACCGAATTTTGATCGCTAGATAGCCATAGATATCTAGTGCTAGGTATCTAGTGTTAAAGGCTAGATATCCATAGTACATCAACAGTGCTATCTTGATTGCTTCGTTTCTCTGCTCCTCAGTAGTGATAACCTTAACCTTAGTAGTAACATAGACATTAGTAATAACATACAATGCATGGCTATTACTAGTTTTGTGAGTAGGGCACTGTAATAACATCTCTAACCACCTCATCCCGTATTCACATTGTGCTAGGTACACTACTGTCTGTACACATGCATGAAAACCTCACTTCCCAACTCACCACACTTAGACGGTACTGAAATCTCTGCGAACTTCTCTTTTACACTGTGCATTCTTGAAAGTTAGGGCTGCATTTTTAAATTATTCCAACTTATTTCAGTTACTAGCAGAGTTATATTAGATTTAAAGGAAATATTTGTTTAATTAATACACGTTTAGTTTGTGGTTGAATTACATGTCAACAGCCACAGTTCTCTAATTTGTGGTATACAGAAGGTAGGCTGAATATTGCATGGTTTAGTAATTGTTTTCTAAGATGTGTCTCCCCACAGCAGTTACTTTGAAGATGGTATTTCCATACTTTCCTTCAAATTCCCTTTTATTCAGTAAATTTAAAACAAATGATATGTAAAAGAAATCATATTTCATTGACATAAATTTAAAGAAAATTTCAGAAACCATTAGATTTAGTGGATTGTACTACACTTTGAAAGAGTGTGATAAGAAAACTTTCTTCCATTTTTTATCTGGTATGTGGATGTACACATGCATGTTGGTTTTGTTTTTAATAATGTTTTAAGTAAAATAATAACTTTAAAGCATAGTTGTTTTTCTTCAATCTTTACTCAATTTATCTCCTCTTCAGCTAAATTTCCATGTAGATCATTAGGAAACTTTCACAAAACAATTCTGCTAAAATGTACGTTATTTGTCAGGTGATAATTTTTCTTTCTACCGTATGAATTTAAAAAGCTTTTTGGCCTTTAAAATAATACATTAGAGAAAAAGATAACTGTGTAATGCAATATGTGGGAAATGTCTGGCTCAGCTTCCTAATTACACTCACATACACTTCTGGCACTGCGCAAGCATTTCAGGCCCTGGCTCATGACACAAGGGTTCCTTTGAGGATGTCTCTCAGCCTGAATGAACAAAAGCCTCCTCAGGAGACTCCACTGAGTGGTTACCAGATTTATTTTATTATAATTTCTTTTTACTGTATTTTATAATAATTTAAGATGATTTTCCTTAGAGAAGAATGGTTTATATTTATTCATTTTAATAATTATGAACAGTTCCAATACTCAGCATACACATCAGTGTATATGGAAACAAAGCAAGAGAAAAGCAGTGTTATCAAATAATACTTAACGGTAATTTTATAAGTAGTAACACACATATATGTAAGAGTTTGTACAGATCCTCATACTTTCTATTCACTAACTAGCCATCTATAATTTAATCAAGAAAGAAATAAATTAATAAGGAAATTATTGAGTCAAAGCCTTATTATATTTCTTATTTGTCATGATAAATTCAATTTAGTAACACAGAAAGCATATGGGCTTTATCATTAGAAAGACATAGCTTTAAAATGCAAATAGGTCATTAACGGATTTTTAACTTTTAATGAGCTACTTTAATTTCTCTAGCTTCAGTTTCTCTGTTTAAAATGCAGTTTAAATTTCAAGAGTGTTCATGAGAAGGAAATAAAATTAGAAAAATCAAAGTCCTCCCTAAATTGTGTGGCACTTAGGCTCTAAGCATAGCTATATTAATGTGTTTTTTCTTTTAATTGGAATTATTTTTCAACTTTGAGAAGGACACGCATACTTTTTGTGATTTACAGCATATGTCTTCCTGTGTGTAAAATCTGTTACATTATATTTCATTTAGCCTTTAAAACACATGTAGGAAATTTTTATCTTCTTTGCCAAAGAAGCACTGGGGCTCTCAAATATCAACTAACTTCCTTTTATTCATATGGCTAGCAAATGTCAGTCCTAAAATTATAGTTTTCTCTTAAAGATACAACTTCAAAACCTGCAAAAGCATAGAGACAGAGATATACATTCTTCCTTTTAATCATCAGAAAATAAATAAATTCATGGAATGACAGAAAAGCTACTAGCCATTTCATACATTTTCATATATCATGTATGAAAATATTATCCCAATATATCTCATTTAGTAGGATCAGAGGGTGAACATTTATGTGTTGAATCACGGCTGAAATTTAAGTTTTCCACTGTTTTGTATATATCTGACTTACCTCTGCTTTTCTTATCGTCACACAAATAATCAGAATGGTTGGAATTATAAAATTACAAAGAAATACCATCATTGAATAACTCTTTCTTCAACCAATCTAGTTTTCTGCTTACTTTCAAAGTTTTTTGTCTTTGACCATTTTATCCAGACTGGATATATTTCTTTCACCGTAGAGAGCAAGGAAAGAGAAAATTATAAAATAGAAATAATACCATAAATGATTGTAGAATGGTTCGGCATCATTTCTACATAACTTTTATATAGTGTGAACATCTGAATAATTTATTGATTCTTTCTACAGAAGCTCAAGGGATTAATTGAGTGAATAAAAATTGCCAGAAAATAGAAAACAAAATTGCCCCGAAGGAATAAAAAAAAATACATATTGGTATGGAATTGGAAAGAGAAGCATGGGGAACAGTGTCCAATGAGAGAGAAGAAAATAAGAACAAATGACCACGTGTTTTTACTTGGGAATTATTTTGGGAAGAGTGATGCCAGCCCAGTCCAGAACCATAATTCCTAATGTAGATCTGTTCCCGATATTTCATGACATTTTTCAAAATGAAAATCTGTTAAATTGTACTAAGTACGTTCATTATCTCCATTATCTTAAATCTACCTTCCACTAAGAGTTTTTACTACTATAATACTGTTCACATTTTACACTTATTAACTGAACAATAGCTCAACAAGAGCAGTTGATGAGTTCCTTGATTGGATGGATTGATGATCTAATTTACACGTCAAATATAGGATCAGAAGTTAGTACTTGTCCGGAGAAAATCCAATGTGACTGACAGCATATAATAAAATACTGCAGATGGTTAATTAAAATGACCAAAATAGAAAATGCATCAAAACAGATTTTTTTTGTTTTCTTCTAAATTCAGTAAACCATAGTAACATATATTAATCGATAACTTTAATGAATTTTTTGACAATAACTTTACTCATTTATAGAAAACAAATCACTATTTATTTTGGAATATAACTGTGAAAATCAAATAAGATATAGCACAGAATATACCTAACCAAAAAGTGGCATAGAATAAGTGTTCTCCTAAGAAGAGCTAATTTTACTTAGGGTATTTCTATCAGATTTCCAGGTTATATGACAGATTTAGAGGCTTATGTAACATTTATTTTTATATAATAGAGAGAAAGAGAACACATAAACCCTGGTATAACATGTGCTTTCAGTGTATCTTAATAATAGAAAATATCATGAATTTCAAAGTATTTCTAAGTAGAACTACCTAAATTCATCAGATGAGTAGGGTGAATGAGATAGTGAACTATGTAGACATTATGCAGGAAATGTGTGCTATAAATATTTACTATATTGCATAGAATATTAAATGGGATATTGTTATATTATAACAGACACTACAAAATGTAAGTCAGCTTATTAAATTGTTTATTTCTATAAGGCATTACAGTAAAATATTTTTATTATTATTAATCAAAACAGTCATTTATGTTCTACTGATTTTTCTATTCATAATTGATAATGCATGACTACATAAAAACTACACATACTTCTAAAGAACACAACATAGTCACTTTCAGATTACAAAGAAAAGTAACGTCAATGAACTCAACACTGCAGGTAATTGCGAGATGGATATGAGAGGAAAGGAGGATATTTAATTCCTTTATTCCATTATTGATCTTCATGATTATATTCCTTCTCATTAATAACTTTCATTTATTTTTGTAAGACAATGCTTTATGAAGAAAGTTCTTTCATTTTTTTTTGTACCGGGAATCAAACTCATACACTTGCACTTGCCAAGCATGAGCTTGTGTCACTGGGTTATATTCCTGGCCCAAAGTATTGTCCATTTTTTTTTTTCTGGTACCAGGAATTGAACTCACAACCTTGGGCTTGCCAGGCAGGTGCTTTGCCGTTGAGCTAAATCCCCAGCGCCATATGAAGAACGTTCTTGAAGGCTTGTTATATTTGCTGATTCCTCAACATGCAGATAAAAGGATTCAACATGGGAGCAATTGAAGTATTGAGAATAACAACTCCTTTGGTCAATGACTCTCTTTCATTTGCGGAGGGCTTGACGTAAATGAATATGCAGCTTCTGTAAGAGATGGAGATGACGATCATGTGAGAGGAGCAGGTGGAGAAAGCCTTTTTCCTCTGAGTGGCAGAAGGGATTCTCAGAATGGTGTTAAGGATGCGTATGTAGGAAAAAATCATCAGTACCAATGTGAAGAGCAGAGTGACAAAGGCAAGGTAAGAGACAGGTGTCTCCAAAAGCCATGTGTCTGAGCATGAGAGCTGTAAGATGGGGAAGTAGTCACAAGAGAAGTGGTCAATGACATTGGAAGCACAGAAATCCAACTTGAGGATAAGCATGAGTACTGGGAAAACGGTCAGAAACCCAGACAGATGAGAACTGAAGACCAGAAGGTGACAGATTTTCTTATTCTTGATGGTTGTGTAGTGCAGAGGCTTGCAGATGGCCACATAGCGATCATAGGACATAGCAGTTAGAAGATAAAATTCAGACACACCCAGGGAGATAACCAAAAATAATTGAGTTAAACAGTTGTTATAGGAAATGGTCTTGACTTTAATCATTACTGAACACAAAAATCTTGGGAAGGAAACACTGGTGAATGTAATTTCCAAGAAGGAGAAATTCCGGAGGAAGAAGTACATGGGAGTCTTTAATTTTTTACCTAACAAGGTGAGAATGATGGTGGTCAGGTTTCCAGTGATACTTAATATGTAAGCTATAAATAAAAAGATAAAAATGGCAGCTTGAATTTTTAGGTTGTCTGATATACCTAAGAATACAAACTTGGTAATCATTATGTGGTTTCTCATGTTAATGCATTTCTCTCCAAAAATTTATTTCTGGAAAACAAATACAAAACAAGGATTAATTTAATGTGAAGGGATTAAAATTTTAAATATGATAAAAACTACCTACAGTAAAATGAAGCAATATACATTTTCCCTATAAGTATTTTTGCAAGGTCATCTCATTCCTATCCAATAGAATGCATGTACAATCCATCATCTATTAAAAAGAGTTCCTGTATTTGCAGGTTTATGATTAAAGCCCCCTCATGGGTGGTTATACATGATACCTCTATGCAGTCAAATGCTCTCTATGTATAATATATGTTTGAATTAGTGATCTCTACAGCAATATTGATTAACTATATTTTTAGTTTGTATATTAAGACTTTCTTCTGCAGTTTCCAAAATTGTATACTTGTAGGACTGAAATATCTAACTTTTAGCTTAATCCTGATATCTTTTACAGACTTACAAAATCTATTGCTGTAAGTTAATGCTTACAATTACTGCAATTAATAATGGTTATGATAATTTTCTTCTTATTATATACTCTAAATATGATTGTAGAATTGGATGTAGTTTCAGTCACAGAACTATAGAACTAAACTTGCCTTAGTTGTAAACAGGTTGGAATTAATTTATTGAAAAGAAAACATAGGCCAGACAAATTAATTCAAGCTCAGAGAGCCAGGGCCAATAATATAACTCTACAACATACTGACATATTTATATCCTTGTATTCCCCTCAAATTAATAATGAACTTTTAGTTTTACTTTATTGTTTTTTGTATTACTCTTAAATTTTTCAGGAGAAGAAGACACTCAAAAAGAAGATTTTGCTGTCAAAATATATCATTGCCTCCTTCAACACAAGTAATAATAAATACAATTTTCTATAGGCTTTACTCTATAGAAACCACAAAGCTGTAACGTGTAACATATTTGACTTCTGTCTTCTGTTCTCTCCTTATCCTTAGCACCCAGCATTCTGTCGGTTATATTAGTTCACAAGCAATATTTGTTGTATTTCTTTCTATAGGATATGATAAGCATTAAAGCTGAGGCTGTGATTTTTTTCTTTCTTCTTAAAAACACTATTTACTTTTTTGAAGAATATACACATTTTTGTCATGAATATATCAGAAAAACTATTACTGTCATTTGAACAATGTTTGAAATATATTAAAATGTAAAATTAATCATAATAAATATTAAAATGAATGTTAATATGGGTGATGTTGAATCTTTACAATTTTTTTCTGAAAAAAATAAAATTGGAAAACAGATAAAATACATTTATTAATTACTATGGAACATATTTTGTGACATGATCATATGTGCCAGTCAAAAATTAAATCCCAAGCTTTTCTTGATCTCACTAAAATATAAAATTTAATGTATTTATTCATTTTGGGAAATTTTTGTCTTATACTTTATTCTTACATCTATCTATTATATAAAATCCTCCCTTGTAGGGAAAGTACAGGTTGAATTACATATAAGACTTGCAGAAGCCTTTGTTTCAAGTAAAACTAAATCACTGTTTTATACATTTTTGTTTTCTATATGAACAAAATTGCTGTTCTTACATGAACACCAAAACCTCTTATGGTAATGCTGAGATTTCTTTAAAAAATTAATTAGTGCATGTGTGTTGTACATAATGTTCACATTCCTTGTGTGAAGCTGGAACACATGTACAACATATCTAAATTTGTTTTTCTTCCCTTTTCCCTACCCATTTTTTCCTTTTCATCCCTTTCAATTCCCGTCCTCTCTGAAAAAAATCTGGGAGTTCTTTCCGTAAATTTCCAAGGAATATTATATTAAAATACTGGAATGGAAAACCTTTTGAAGCTTTCTAGATAAGATAAAGACAGAACACTACAGAAAAATAACAGTTTTACCTCTCTTGCCATTGCATAAACCCCTAGGAAACTAAATTAAAGAACGGAAGGGTGAAAGCAGCAATAAATTCAAGAGACATAATGAGAACATGACGTTCTTTCTGGAATGCCAAGCCATACAGTGAGATAAAAAAAAAAAACATGTACCTACCAATAGGCTGATAAAACCAACTTGATTTTCCTTTGGCTGTAGTTAATTTTCTCAATTTATAGTTAGACTCTGTCTATACTCAAGAGATACTTTACTCTGAGTTCTTTCGGGGTTGGTTAGATCCAGGACTGAACTAATACTCCGCTGTGGACCATTCTTTGAAGTTATTACCCATACTTTATTCACATATACATCTCTTCCAATACAGAGTGAAATCAATGACTAAAATATGAGCATCTTTAAAATCAAAACATTAGTTGAAACCTTAGTTTTTATTTTTTAATTTTTAAAATGAACATATGGCTAATTAAGTGAGAGTCAAGGTTCAGAGTAATATCTAGTGCCTTACAGAAAGGGCATGATATTTGGATATTAGCTTCTAGTTTCACTCAAATTACTCAGAATAAATCTTCAGATTACTCAGTATAAAGCATTGCTGTTTTATACAGCAATGTTCATTCACAAACAATCACATTTACACAATTAGTGAAATTTTTCTTCCATTTTATCATTTTTAAAATTAATTAAGTCTATCGGTACATTTTAGGCATGCGTGATATGCATCCTTCAAAGGGAATTTATATCTGTAGATGATATAACTTGATTCTTTTTTCCCATTCTCCTCCCCTCCCTTTACCCCTCTTCCCATCCTCAGTTGCAAAAGATTTGTTTCCATTGTTTTCTTCAAGAAGAAAAGTGAATTCGTTTTCTATATACATGAATGCAATTTTAGGACAGAATACTCTGAATTTTTCCCTTTTTGGTTTTGTTTTGTTTTTTGTTTTTATTGGGGCTTTTTGGTTAAGAATGTATTGATATCTCTCTGGGTCAAATCATCTACACAAAACTCATATTTTTATAAAATTTGCATAAGATATAAGAACCCACATATATAATTTGAAAATTTCATTGCTAATTAAGATTAGGGAATTTATAATATATGTGAGACAGGTATCTAATTTCAGTCTTCTACATATTGAAGATATCTAGTTTCAGTCTTCTGAAGCCATTGTTTAAAGAGGCCATGTTTTCTCCAATGTGTGTTTTTTACATGTGTTTTCACAATACTCAGCTATCTGTAGCTTTGAAGATTTCCTTTTGTGCAGTCCACTGTATTCCATTGATCTACCTGTGTGTTGTTAATTTTTCCTGTTTTTCTTTTTTAATCTTATTTTATTGGTGCACTTTAGACATACATAATGATCACATTCATCATAGAGAATTTGCCCATGTACATGATATAACTTGTTTCTTTTCCCCCTATTCCCCTACCCTCCCTTCGACACTTGCTTCCTTCCCCATTTGCAAAAGCTTTGTTTTCACCTTTTCTTATTTTTGTTTTACTTTTACATTCTTTTCTTTCCCACCGTGTGCTCTTTTGCTAACACCATTCTGTCTTTCCTACCATTTGAAATAACGTTCTCATGTTACTCTTGTTTGCTCGGGAGTTTTTTTTTTTTAGTATTCTGGGGCCATATGTACTTTCACGTAAATGACAGAAATTGATGTTTATAGCATTTTGAAGAATAGCCACTGCTATCTTGATGGGCATTGCATTGAAACTCTAGGTTGCTTTTGGGAATATGATTACTTTCACAATATTAATTCTGCCAATCCACGAACGTAAGAAGTTAGTATTTTATAATTTTCATGTGTGGAGTCCTTCCCTTCCTTGATTAGACTTAAAGTTATTGTGGACATAATGATTTTCCTGATTTCTTTCCTAGTGGATTTACAGTGAGTGTATAGAAAGCTTTTTGTTTATGTACAGAGATTTTTGTATCATGCCACTGTGCTGAATTCTTTTATTAGATCTAAAAGTCTGGTGGTGAAGGTTCCAGGTCCTTTAACTAAAAGATGATTCGCGAGTAAGGATAATTGGGTGCCTTCCTTAGTTGTTTGTATTCCTTTTATTTATTATGCCTGATAGCTCTGACCAAAATTTCAAGTATATTGCTGAAAAGTAATGGTGAGAGTGGACACACTTGTTCTACCCTGAAAGGACATGCTTTAGTTTCTCCAATTCTCTATCTTGTGGCTATGAGCTTGTCATGTACAGATTTTATACGGAGTCACATCCACTGATACCTAGTTGCTGAGGGATTTTATCATGAAGGGTTGTTGAATTTTGTCACAGGCATTTTCTGCACATATTGAGATGATCATGTGGCTTTTCTTTTTATCCCTTTCCCTTTCTTTCCCCTTGAAATTCCTACCTCATTTTTAAGAGTCAACCTTCTAATCTATAATATTTATTTATTTATTTATTTATTTATTTAAACTTTGGCTTCATCATATAAGAAAAACATGAAATTTAAATTTCTGAGTCTTCTTTTCATTCACAATGTTTTCAAGTTCACTGATTTTCCTGCAAATGGTATGATGTGATTCTTCTTTACATGAGAATAATATTCCATTCTGCATATATCCATTACATTTTTACCTGCTGCACAGGTACAAAGGCTGTTTCCAGAGCTTCATTATTTTGAATTTTGCTCCTAGAAATGTGAGTTTTCATGCATCACTATAGTATAATGTTTCAATTCTTTTGGAAATGTGTCTAGGAGAGATATACCTGGGTCAAATGCAATTTCTAGTTTTAGTTTTCTGAGGAAATTCCATGCTTTCCAAAGCTGCTGAATTACTTTACATTCTCACCATTGATGCAAAAGACTTCATTTTCTTCACATCCTCACCAACATTTTCTTTGTATTATTGGTGATACCTGATCTGATTTCAGATGGTTTGCACTTTTTATTGGTTCAGGATGTTGACCATTTTCACTTATACATATTGGTCATTGGTGCTTCTTTTGAGCAGTATCTATTCCATTTACGTATGTATTCTATGACTGGCAAATTGGTTTTATTGTACAGTCCTATCTGTTTTCAGTGCTTGTTTGTGGTTTCCCCTTGTTGCTCTTGTTAGCATTTTCCTGAGGCAATTTTATGTAATAATCTTTC